AGGCACGCACTGATGCTCCTCCTCTGGGCTGTGTTTACACTATTTGTTTTGAACCCTGGGCAAAAACTGATTATGCAAAGAGAGGATGCCTGACTCAAGCTGAGCCAATCAGATTCTTTTTCACGGAATTAAAAATAAATCATGTACAGTAAAATGCACAGGTCTTAAATGTGCAATTTGCTGAGTGTTGACAAATATATACATTCATGTAACTGACACCCCAGTCAAGATCTGGAACATTTTTATCCCCCTAGGACTTTCCCTCAGCTCCGCGCCCAGTCAGTCCACACTGTGACACCCAAGCATTGTTCTCATTCTGTTACCATGGTGAGTTGTATCTGTTTTTGAACTTCATGTAAATGAAATCCTATAGTATATATTCCTTTATGACTGGCTTTTTTTTTTTTTTTTACATAGCAATGTTTTTAAGATTTATCCATATTTATAAGTAAATCAGCTCATTCTTCTTTATTGCTGAATAACATACCAATGTATGAATATATTATCCATTCTCCTGTTGAGTGCCATTTGAGTTGTTTCCAATTTTTGGCTATTATGAATAAAGCTGCTAAAACCATTTTTTTACGATCTTGCTATGGACATATGCTTTCATGGAGGAGGTATGTGGGTAAATACCTAGGATCGAGGTTTATAGGATAGGTTTATCTATAACTTTATAAGAAACTGCTAAACAGTGCTCCAAAGTTGTGCAATTTTATATTCTCACCACCTATACCTAGGGGGTTCAAGCTGTTCTACAGCGTTGCCAACATTTGGGGTGTCAGTCATTTTCATTATCGTCTTTCTCGTGGGTGTGAAGTGGTATCTTCTGGTTTTGGTTTGCATTTCCCTGATGACTAATGAGGTTGTGCAACTTTTCATGTGCTTATTGGCCACCTGTATATCTTCACTTGCTGAAATGTCTATTCATTTATTTTATTGGGTTATTTTTTTACTAATCGTATATATGTTCTAGGTAAAAGTCAGATACATGTATTATTAATATTTTGAAGTATTTGCTGAGCATTAGAAATGCTGGCTATATGATTTGAGAAAAAAATAAAATATGAAGTTGTATTGAAAATTCTTAAATAAATTAATATTTTGAATGACTAGAATAGATACCCAGAAAGATAATCCCCAGAAATCAATCAAAAATATATTAGTAGTACATTAATTACATATAAGTTTATAAAATTCTGTTATATTACTATGTACGAATAACATATAGTTCTAAATAAAAATAATTATGCTCACAGATAAAACCAAAACCATTAAAAGCTTTATTTTTATTCCAAGGAAATGATTTAAAAACTATGAGGGAAATAAAAGGAGATGGGAATTGGTGGGACACGATACTGTGCTCCTGCTGTTTGGAAAGATTTAATACACAGAGTTGATTCTATAACAACCAAAGGCCCTAGAAGTTGACAAGTTGATTTAAAAATTAATTGAGAAGAATGAACAGGAATTTGAATATTCCAATAACCATTGACTTATACAATTTAAATGGGTGAATTGTATGGTATGTGAATTATATCAATACAGCCATTTAAAAATAAACAGGGAAGTGTTTTTTTAAGTTAAACCAAAAATATAAGGTAAGCAAAACAATAAAAAAAAATATGGGTCTGGTGTTTATACACCTTGGATGAAAATCTTATTAGGAAACAATATGTAAAATATTTCATTTTTATAAAAAATTAAAGGAGAGTACTCAAAAATTTCTAACAATGTTTATCCTTATGAAGCTAGAAACTATAGTGAATATTTTACTTAATGATGAAATGTGGAAAAATTTCTGAGAACAGAAATACGACAAGGATATCCACTAACATCATTAGTATGCAATACTTTTGTGGTGTTTCTAGCCAGAGTAATAAAGCAAAAATTGAAATAAACAATATAAGAATTAGGGATAGGATATAAAACTATAATTATGTCTATTGAAAACTTAAAAGAATCCAGAGATAATTATTAGAATTAGTGAGTTTAGTTGGAAATACTCTTCTAGACATTGGCCTAGGCAAAGAATTTATGAAGAAGGCACCAAAGGCAATCACAGCATCAACAAAATAAATAAAAGGGACCTGATCAAAATAAAAAGCTTCTGCACGGCCAAAGAAACTGTCACAAGAGCAAACAGAGCGGATGAGTGGATTAATAAAATGTGGTATACATATACCAAGGAGTAGTATTCAACTATAAGAAACAACGGTGACATAGCACCTCTTGTATTTTCCTGGATAGAGCTGGAACCCATTCTACTAAGCAAAGGATCCCAATGGAAAAACAAGCACCACATGTACTCACCAGCAAACTGGTGTTAACCAATCAACACTTATGTGCACATATAGTAGTAACATTCATCGGGTGCTGGGCAGGTGGGAGGGGGTAGGAGGGGATGGGTATATAAATACATAATGAGAGCGATGCACACTGTCTGGGGGATGGACATGCTTGAAGCTCTGACTCTGGGGGGGTGGGGAAGGGGAGGAAAGGCAACACACGTAACCTAAACATCTGTATCCCCATAATATGCTGAAATAAAAAATAAAATAAAAAAATTAGAGAGTTTATCATGATTGTTAAATAGGTCAAAATAAGAAAAGCAACTTTATTTCTGCATAGCAGCAAGAGTTAGAAGATAAAAATGTAAGAACAAACCATTTACAAATAGCATAAAAAATCAAATGTCTAGGGAAAATTTAATCAAAGATGTACAAGACCTCTACACATAACTTGATAAACATTCCAAGAAATTAGAGAAATGCTAAATAAATGGAAGTATATACCATGTTGACTGATTAGACATCTCAGTACTCCAAAGATGTCAGTTCTCCTCTGAATTGACATATAAACTCAATACAATCCCAATCAAAATTGTAACGGGCTTCTTTTTTGGGGAAGTGGTAGGGACTTAGCAAGTTGATTCTAAAATTTGTATGGAAATGCAAAGTGCCCAAATAGCTAAGACACTCTTGAATAAGAAGAATCAGATTGAGGACTTACTCAACCAGATAGTGACTTATAAATCAGTAATTAAGACAGTGATATTAATATAAAGATAGGCAAATTGACCAATATAACAGAAGAAACCCAGAAACAGACCCAAGGATATATGGACGTTTGATTTATCACCTAGATCAGGGGTCCTCAAACTTTTTAAACAGGGGGTCAGTTCACTGTCCCTCAGACCGTTGGAGGGCCATTGGAGAAGGCAGCACACATTCCACACATGCGCACTGTGGGCCCCGGACAAGTCAGCTGCTAAGCAGGACAGGCAGCGGCAGCAAAACACACTGGCCTCCTGATAGATGTCCCCGGGCGGGCCGCATGTGGCCGAGGGCCATAGTTTGAGGATGCCTGACCTAGAGGGTGTAGCAGAGCAGTAGGGAAAGGATAGTATTTTCAATAAATGGGGCTGGGATAATCAGATACCTTTATGGAAAGAAAGAAACACCATTTTCAATAAATGATGTTGGGATACTCGGATATATTTATGGAAAGAAAGAAACTTGAAGCCTATGTCATAATTTATATAAACACTGATATCAAGTAGATTCTAGATTTAATTGTGAAAAGCAAATAATAAAGCTTCTAGAAAATAGTCTAGGAGAATATTTTTATGATTTCAAGGTATGGAAAAACTTCACAAGTAGGACACAAAAAACACTAATTTAAAAGAAAGATTGCTTCATTTGACGACATTAAAATTAAAAACTTCTATTTACCAAAAGAAAGCCATAAAGTGGGAGGAGATTATCCAAAAATACATTAGTAATTTAAAGAAATAGAGTGGGAGAAAACATTTGCAACACATATATTAATAATTGAAATGAGCTTCTATAAATCAATAAGAAAACCATAAATAATCCAGTAGAAAAAAAGAGGGGAGGGCAAGACCCATGAACAGGTGCTTCACAAGGAAGAAACCCAAATGACTGACTTATGTAAAAAAAGGCGTTCGATCTCATTAGCCATCAGAGAAATACAAATTAAGTCCACAGTGAAATGCCTAAACATGCTAAAGAGAACGGGTAAAATTTAAAGGACTAAAGACCAAGTGTTGACAAGGGCACGGAGCAATGGGAACTCTTATACACTCAACTGCTGGTGACAATATAAACTGGTGCATTTACCTTGGAGAACAGTATAGCTTTATTAAATTTGAAGATATGCAAACCCTATGACCCACTAGCTCCACTCTAACGTCATACTTCTCCCAAAATGTATGCACATTTGGACCAAGATACATATGCCAGAATGTTCATAGCAGTATTATGAAACTAGAAACTAAACTAGAAACAACCTCAAAGTCCATAAACAACCCCCACACTGGAAACAACCTCAAAGTGCATAGACAGTAGAATGGGCGAACAGCAAAGTATCATGCGATATTACGCAGCAACGAGCGTGCATGAACTAGGCCTGCACACAAGAAGAACATGAATCTCGCAACGGAACGTGAAGGGAGCCAGGCATAGAAGATTACTTCCTTTTTGATTCCTTATATAACTCTTTATATGGCTACTTGGTGTTGAAAGCTGCCTGGTTAGGTGGTAAAAGCAAAGAAGCGAATGCCACAGCAATCGGGGCATTGGCTATTTTTGGTGGGGCGAGAAGAGGTAGCGTTTGCAGGGCACAAGGGAAGATTCTGGGAGGGCTGGTGCGCAGGGCGTCAATGAACCGGCTCTGCAGCGGCGACCCACCCGGAGCGCCCGCGCCGCGGCACAGCCGAGGCCCTGCGCGCCTCCCCGCGCGCGGTGCGCAACAGCAGAGGGCGCCGGCGCCACGCCCGCCCGCGGGGCCGCCCGCCGGCCACGCCCCCGGCGCCCTCGGGACCCGGACGCCCGGGCCTCGGGGCTCCGTCCCCGCAGTGCCCCGCTCCCTCCGCTCAGCCCCTCCCCACCGCTCCCGCAGTCCAGCAATCAGCAGACACGCAAATTGGACAGATTATTAGAAACAAAGAGGCGACAGGGATCAAGCCGATCACTTACCAGATTCGCCGCATCCGTGGAGATGAGCAGTTTACTCGGAGGAGGCGCGGAAGAAAGCAGAGCTGCGGGGAAGGCGCGGGAGCAGGGGCCGGCGGGGAAGGCGCGGGAGCAGGGGCCGGGGGGGAAGGGCGGGACGGGAGCAGGGGCCGGCGGGGAAGGGCGGGACGCGGAGCAGGGAGCGGCGGGGAAGGCGCGGGAGCAGGGGCCGGCGGGGAAGGCGCGGGAGCAGGGGCGGCCTCACGGGCCGGAGACCGCCTCGGGAGGGCCCGGCGGCTCGGGAAGGTCCCCACAGAGCCCCCCCAGGCTGCGGGAGTGTCGCAGCCCCACAGGTTGTCTCTGTCTGTTTTGAGGTCTCTCTGGCAATATGTAATAACAGCAACATTTTTGGACATCTGGAATCCGATTGAGAATTCCAGCTCCACCACTTTCTAGCTGCGGGGCCCTGAGGAACGGCACCTCCTCCCGCTCCAGCGTCACTTCCACCGTCGCTTTCCACCCCGGCTGCCGCGCCAGTCCCGGCGGCAAGCTGCTGTGCAAGGACCCGCTGCGGTCCCCAAGGACTAGTTCTTCTCTCCTCGCTGCGAGAAACAAGAAACGTACTTCTGGAAATAAAGCTAGAAGGGGGGGGACAAGGTGGGGTGATTTAAGCTAATAATTCCGTAGTAAACATTAAGACAAAACATAACAGGCAAGTATCACAATCCATTTTCATAATGGCATACTAAACGCAATTAAGAAATATATCCATTATGCCGAAAGAGCCAGGCTTGGGGAATGTGACCAGCAAACCGCTTTGCTCTTTTTCCCTCGTCGCCTATTCAAACCTGCTCTGCGAGTAGCTTCTCCCTGCCCCTTGGATAAGCTCTCAGGGCTGTTCCAAGACTTTTTTGATCATTCTTAGCTAACAAAAAAAATGTCTCCTGTAACTTCTAGTTAAAAAAACAGGCTCTGTTCTGCACTTGAATGTCCAATTTCGTGCAGTGAAGTTCCAGCTTCATTTTAAGTTTGGGCCTCCTCCACCCCTCCCTACCTGGCCGGTGCCTGCCAGGGCTCCAGCAGGCAGTGGGCACGTGGCGTGGCGTTGTTTCCTAGCGCTCAGTTTTGTACTTCTACTCCTCCTTCTCACTGGGGTTCTGATCATCTTGGCAGGGTCTGGGAGGGGTAAGGGAGGGGGTCACCTGTGGGACAGGAGAGGCTCTCAGTGGTGCTATTGTGAGCTGGAGTACTCAGCCTGAGGGCCTCTCCTTCACTGAGAATCTTACCTGTGGTCCCTGTGGCCCACATTTGTCCCAGACTGGGGTGGCACACAGCACCGGTCCTATCCCCTTTAAAAGTCTTTATTACATTTTTCTAGAAGTAGAAGTCTGGAAGTTATATTTCCTAGACACTCTTACAAACAGGGTTCCAGGTTGATTCTGCCAAATGGGAGGCACCCAGGTGAGACTAGAAAGCAGAAAGATGGGGAAAAAAATCATCCTTTTCTTCCTTTGACTCTGATGCTCATGACAGCAGGATGCTCGAGGCTCTTGGGGTAATTTGGGCAAAGCATTCCACAATGAAAAATAAGAAAAAACCTAATTGGCAAACGGCTGTGCAAATTACAGCCCATCATCATTATGGGATGGATTGGCAGCAGTGGCATGAGCCGCAACAGCAAGTGCAGTGCAGGGGGTTCCTCCTTGGTGACTGCACCTGCCCAGCCCAGCACTGGCTCCTGAAGTTCCCATCTCTAAGGAATATCGTATAGTACCCTGAGTTATCCACCCTAGTTCTTCACCCCTCGCTGTAGCTATGCCATTGTCCTGTAGCTTTGCACTTCCTCTCCAAAAAAGGCATAGTTTACTTCCTGTGCCTAGATTTGGAAGTTGGTCATGTGACTTGCTTTGGACAATGGGATATGAGGTGATGTGACAAGAGCAGAGGGTAGAAATGTGTTTGCACATTGAGGCTTGGCATTTTATGCTTCTGCCTTCACCATGAAAAGAGCCTCCCCTGGGTAGCTGCGGCCCCTTCAGCCTGTGCTCAGAATAAAACGTGGAGCTGGCCTGAGTGAGGAGCAGAGCCCGGAGACCCACGGCTTGAAACTGTCTACCTTAGATCTGCCCACACCCAGCTGACCCACTGATATATGAGAAATGAATGCTCATTGCCCTGCGCCACTGAGATGCTGTGGGTATTGTTATGCACCGTTATTGCTAACTGATAAAGCAACCGTCCCCTCCTTTGGCTTCACCAACTTTCCTAAGAATTGTATAACTTAATTCCCTGTGTAAAATCACTCTTTGCTGGGAATTCTTTTACTGGGATAAGAATTCTGAGAAAAGAGATCTTTTTATGCTTTAGGCAGATCAATGCTCATTCCAGGAACAACTGGAAAAGCTGAATAAAATACAGAAAACCTCTTTGTAAAGTTATTGGAAAGCTGCAAAATTGACAAGCATTTGAAGGGCTGTGCTCTCAGAAGAGGGAACACACAAAGAGGTGAGCTGGCACTGTATGAGCCATTTTTCCCCTTGGGAAATTTGCTGATTCTAGTTAAGAGGCTGAGCATTTGGGCAGGGGGCCACTGCCAAGAGGTAGAAAGGGCAGCAGAGTCTTTGGAGCTGGAGAGACATGAAACTAAGGACTGAGATTGCAAAAGCAGCTGGGACTGAGGGGCCAAGATATTGGACAGAAAAGAGACACAAAAAAGTAACTCTTACGGGAGGCATTTGCTGCATTATTAAGCTAAGCAGAAAACCTATGAGAGGCAGCAGTTTTGACAGTATCATGATACTAGTGACATACAAATTGGGAGTTCACGTTCCACCAAAGAAGAGAAGCCTAGTAATCACACCAGACTCTCAGTTGGAATACTTGGAGGATTTCTATGCTCTAGAAATGGGGAAAACCAGAGGTAGAGATAGAGTCTTATAGAAACTGCAACCCAGACTCTAGCCAGTCCAATACCAACGGAATTAAGGTAACTTCATCCCACTCTATCTGTCTGCCTGAGAACACAGGGAACCCTCCCTGGAGAAAGACATTATCTCTATAATGTCTCCTGGAGCCAATATAATTTACAATGCTCAGCATCCAATAACAAATTATCAAGCACAACAAGAAACATGAATGTGGGGGGACATACATATAGTAAAACTGACCCACTAGTGACCCAGATATTGGTGTTATCAGACAAAGACTTGATTTACAGAAAAGAGACTTTCTGGAATCTATAAGAATTAATCAAATGGAAATTTAGAACTGAAAATGACAATAATTTAAATTAACAAATTAGCATGCAGGTTAATTATGATTAGACTTAGAAGAAGAAAGATTACTAAAGATTACTAAACTGTAATATAGGGCAGTATAAAAACTCTAAGCTGAAGAACAGAGATAGAGTATAGAAAATACAGCAAAGAACATAAGAGACTTGTGGGAAGTAGTGGACAGACCTAACCTATGTGCAATTGGAGTCTTAGGAGTGGAGGAGAGGAAGATTGGGACAAAAACACTAATCAAAGAAATACAGGCTGAGAATTTTCTAAAACTGATAAAACTTTATGACCCCCCCCATGCAAGATAAATAAAAAGGAAACTGCATCTAGGCACACAATACTCATGCTTCTGAAAACCAATGACAAAGAGAAAATATTAAAAGCAGCCAAAGAGAGGTGGGGGAGACACATTACTTTCCAAGGAGAACAGCAGCCTGATGACCACCTGTCAGCAGAAATGACAGACGTGAGAAGACAATCGAATGCCATTTTGAAACTGCTGGGAAAAAAGCGTTAACCCAGAATTCTATATCCGCAACACATTCTTTACAAATGAATTTGAAATAGATATTTCTATTCAAAGACTGAGAAAATCTCTCGCCAGCAGATCTGCACCAAAGGAAATATTAAAGGGAGTTCCTCAGACAGAAGAAAACTGAGATAAGATATAATCACAAAAATATAGTTAAGAATAGAAAGCAACAGAAAGAGTGAAAATGTAAGTGCATATTGATGGAACATATCAATAGTAGTAGTAATGTCTTGTTAGGTATGAAATATGTGTGGAATTAAAATGAATGATATCAACCACATACACAAAACAGTAGTATGGAGGTCAGTAGAGACTGAGTGTTGTTGTGATATAGCATCATCTAGAAAATGATTAAAAAATAAAATTTGTATTAGACTATAATAAATAATGGACACAAAGTTATAATTTCTGGGAGAAACACTAAAGGAATAATAAAATAATGTATAAGTAGCAACTAATGGGTGGGAGGAGATGGAATTAAAAAACCAAATTAATCAGAAAGAAGGCAACCGAGAGAAAAAGAAGCATAAATTAGGTAGGACAATGGAAACAAACGGCAAAATGGTATATGTCAACACAACTGTATCATTAATTACATTAAATGTAAATGTGCTAAATACACAAAAGACAGAGTTGGCAGACTTGATATAAAAAACTATATTCAAGAGACATTATATAATTATATAATAAGAACATAAGAAGCTTGAAAAGTAAGGGAAAAATGAAAAAAAAAACACATTGTGAGTGGTAGAGAGAGCCATTCCACACTGATAAAGGGTTTAATCTATCAGAAAAATATCAATTTTAATTGAATATGAGCCTAATAACATAACCTCTAAATAAATAAAACAAAATTGACAAAACTGGAAGGAAAAATAAACAAATTTACAATCATACTGGGAGGCTCTAACCTCTCTTAATCTGGATAGAAAAACAGACAAAAGTATAAGTAAAGATGTAGATGATTTGACCAACCTGATTTACAAACTTGACCTAATTGAAATATACAGAACACCTGCACACAACTGTAGAATACATGCATATTCCTTTCCAGTGCAAGAAGATTACAATAAAAATCTCATAGGAAAGTCTCTCATGAACATAACTGCAAAAATTCTTAAAACTATAATAACAAACACATCTAAATTTGAAATAAGTAAGTCCTAGTATTATTATACACTTGCACACACACAAACACATACACACCCCACTGGTTCCTATTATGAGAATGTAAATTTGATTTGACATTCAAAAGTCAATCAGTATAAGTCATCACATTAAAAGAATAAAGGAGAAAAAAATTATTTCAAAAGATACAGAAAAAGTATTTGATAAAATTTAATACCATTTGTGATTTTAAAAAATCACAATCTTTTTTTTAACAGATTGGGAATATACTATTATGAGTACAATAAAAATCCTATAGCAAATATCTTAATGGTAAATATTGACAGCTTCTACGCCCCTGCCCGCCACCCTAGAGACTGAGAACGCGACAAGCACACCCACTATCACTACTTGGAGTCAGCATTCGCTGGAGAATGGAGCCAGTGCAATTTGTATAGCAATTTGTATCCTGCAGCCATGCTCAGCTTGTTCATTAACTCTAATAGGATTTGTGTGTGTGTGTATGCTTGAGGATTTTCTATATACAAGATCATGTCATCTGCAAATATAGTTTTACTTCTTCCTTTACAATACAGTCTTTTATTTCTTTTTCTTTTCCAATTGCCCAGACACAGCAATTTGGCAATCAGTAAATAAGGCATAAAGATTGGGAAAGAAGATATAAAACACAGAGGACATGGTCATACACAAAGAATCTGGAAACCATTAAAATTTAAATGAATTAACAAGGCCACTCACTAGATACAAAGTCAGCATACTTTTGTAGCAACAGAATCTCTATATACTACCAATAAACAAATATAAAACACCTAAGAGTAAATCTAATGAAAGATGTGCAAGAACACTTTGCTTGAAACCACAAAACAGTTTTAAGAAACTTACAAAAGACCTAACACCATGTTAATGGATCAGAAGATTCAATATTGTAAAGTCACATGACCCCCAAATTGGTCTTATAGTCAATGAAATATCATCAAATTCTAGCACTTTACTTTGTGGAAATTGACCAGCTGATGCTTAAATGTTTTATGGAAATGCAAAGGGCTTCTTTCAAGGGAGTCACCTTGTGGACAGGATTTGAGCCAGCTCTCTCTGGTCCATGGGGAACATGTGTGTATATCTTGCCCCGACTGTGTTTGTAGACAGAGGACAGCCCTATACTGAAACCCTCTTTCCCCCATCAGAGCAGAGGGCCTGTTAGTCTCTGCCATTTAGATTTTTCAGGAGTGAGTCTGATACAGCAGTTCACTCTGTCTTGCGAAGAGGACCCTCATCAACGTTGACCCTCATCAACGTTTCCAAGTGGCTCTAGAAAGGCCACTGCTAGTCATGGATCTCACGTGGATGTGGAGGTGGCTGGTATGTCAGGTGACTGGGATGTCAGGTGACACAGAAACAATTTCATATTAGTCACCTGCTCTGTAAACACACAGAACGATTATGTGTGTGCTATGAAGCTATTAGAAACGACAGCTTTGTGGACTACTTTGAAAACATGCAAGTGAAATAAGTGAGAAAAGGCAAACACAAGATACTGTGTCCACATGGGCCACTGCCAGGCAAGCTTGCATGTGTGCAGTGACAGAAAGGAAGACAAGTAAAAGGCACAAACTCAGTATAACGCATTCAATTCCTTATTTTGCTGAAGTTGCTTCACTGCGTAAGAAAAAGATACCAGTTTGAAGTTCTGTTCTAGCTACACAACGACAGGGTGTGGACTCCACAAGCTCCACAGCACCAGGGTGCAAATGCCCACTGCCTGTTTCGGTGACAGTGACAGGCCCCATCGCTGCTCGGTAGCTCCAGTACAGCTTCTGGGGAGTTGATGGCTGTGATGTGTGGGGACTTAAGTCTTGATGAATTTTATATTGACACCACAGCACAACGATCACACTGGAATCCCCGGGTTCACAGGAAACATTCTCAGCCCTGTGGGCTACACTGCGGCCACACGGCTTCCACCACGTCCCGGTTGACGGGAACAGGAACTGAGCGCTGGTGGGTTCGGGAGACCATGGAAGCCAGCAGCAGAATGCTACGGGCCCGGGGCTTGAGGCTGTGGCCCCTGAGGGCCGTGGGCAAAACTTGACATCACGTGGTGGGTGGGATTGGGCATCGCCCCGGGGAGGGACGGAACACAGGTGAGGCCCTCTTCACCTGGCCCCGTGGGCCACGCTGACCCCGGTCCGCCAGCCGGCACCTGGGCGGGCTGCTCGCAGCATTCTGCCCACCACCGCCCGCGCGGAGTGTTTCCTCTGCCAGGCAGCGCGCACAGCCAGGCCGTCGCCACGTGGAGAATTCCTTCAGAACCCGTGGGGACCCAGGCTGACTCAGGCCGGGGAGCCAGGCCTCCATGCCACAGCCCCACAGGTAGGAAGGACAGGGCGTGCGGGGAGTGCACTGCCACAGCTGCCGGCCAGGGAGATGTTGGCTGAAACATCCCTGCTTGTGGCCGTCCAGAGCGACGGTGAGGAGAGGGGCCGTCTGGAAGCAGAGCCGGTCCTGGGCGCTGGTCAGGGCTCGGAGGCGGGGCCGAGCGCGTGCCAGCGCTTCACCAGCTCCTTGGGCCTGCTGAGCATCTGGTCCCAGTGCTCCAGCTCCCGGCCCCGCGTGTACATGTAGGGGCCCACCACCACCCGGCCCAGCGGCCGGCTCTCTGCAGGGAGAGAGAGCGCCCGTGTGCCCCTGAGCACAGAACAAGTCCCCAGCGACATCCCCGGACACCTCTCTCACCCACTCTCCCCTGCCCTGGAAGGAAGTGGCAACAAGCACCACCCAACAGCCCCCAAAGGGGCTGCCTTGTCCCTGGGGCTGGAAGGGCTGCTTTTCCTCGCCCCCACCTCCAGAGAGGTGGCAGGGGAGGGGAGCCCAGGTGGAGGCCCACCCTTCCGAACCACCCCCTGCTCGGTTCCCTGCTGCAAGGCCAGGTTAAGCCTACCTCCCCTCAAAGAGCTGAGGGAGGAAAGGGCCCCTCCAGAAAGAAGGCCTCTTCCGTCAGCGAGAATATTCAACAGTCCAGTTCAGAACCAACTGCCACAGTAGGGAAGGGCCAGTCCATGGGACCAGCCACGGCCTACCGGCTGCTTCCGGACAGTGGCAGTGGGAGCAGGCCGGGGCAGTGCGGGAGAGCGGGCTGGAATAACTCGCCCAGGACCCTGAAGGCTTGTCTAGAGGGCGCGAGGAAATGCAGGGCATGCCACGGCCCACAGCACCAGGTCCCTTGGCTGGTGGCAGGCACTGTGCTGCCTCCCGACCTCTCTGGAGAGCTGCCCAAGGAGGGGATGGGTAGCCATCGCTTAACCTCTTCCTAGGGTACCACACCGAGTCCAACTGGACTCAAGCTGGGCATGAATCCCAGCCCTGCTGCCGTTGAGCTGCATGTCCCTGGACAAGTGTCTCAGCCTCTCTGAGCACTAGTTTCCTTGACCCGGGGACAGAGCTCCTGCGGCTCCTCCTGAGGCCAGGGCAGGAGGCATTCGCTCTGCCTGAACATGCAGCAGCCCCTCCCCTGCCCGTCACCCCAACAGCCTGGGGGGAGAGAAGCCTTACTGTCCCCTTCCAGGCTCTGCATCACTGTCAGGCTGAGGCTGGCGGTGTCCAGCTCGGTGGCATCGGTCTTGAAGCTGAAGGTCTCGTTGTACACGGGGTTGATGGAGCCCAGCACAGCCGAGGTCTTCTTGCACTTGACGAACTTGTTGTGGTTCATCAGAGACACTCTGACAAACACACCTAGGGCGGCGCACACCAGTGGGCTGAGGAGGCGGGCAGGAGCCCAGCCCACCCAGGTGGTCCAGCCAGGGGGCTGTGCCCAACCCCAGTGCTGGGTCCCAGCAGCAGGAAGCGCTGGATGGGCGTGCTGCCTCACACCCCAGGGGCGCTCCGCTCCCTCCCTGCTCCTTCCTGTCTGGGGGACACGCCCACGGCTCAGGCTGGCTGGTTTACCAAAGCCTGGCGCCACATGCCCATGGGGACCACATGCATGCTGGGTCCTCTGGCCTGCTGGGGCCCCTTAAACACCTGCCTTTTCGGAGGGCTAAGATTTTGGGGGTGGAGGCAGAGGGCTTTGGATCTGCAGCAGGGGATTTGAATCCCAGCTGGCTTAGAGTGACCCAGATGCAAAGACCAGCAGGTGGCCAATGACCACCACCTCGCTGGGGCGACCCGTGTAGGGGTGGGATGTGTGGGGTGAGCCAGGGCCCTTTCCCTGGCTCCTGTGCTCTGGGAGGCTGGGGGACAGGTGTACCACCTGCCCAGCATCAGTGCCCGAGTGCGTGGGCAGCCGCCCCTGGGGGGAGGAGTGTGGGCGCTGTCCTGGAAGAACCGGGGCCCTCAGCTGACAGAAAGGTGGCGTGCAGGTGGGCAGGCAGTTCTAGGAGCTAAGATGCTGCCTTGGGAAACTGGAGGGCCAGGACTTGGTCTTGGGGTCAGGTTAAAACCCCTGGAGGAGGCTGAGGACATGAAGCCTTGGGTTCAACATAGCAAGGGGCTTCTGGCTCCAGAACTGTCCACAAAGGGAGGGCCCATCCCATGAGGTAATGAGCCCTCTGTGATGGGGTATGTGCAAGCAGAAATTGGATGGTCAGGGGTGAGGGTCGGGCTCTAGCCCAGGCCCCAAGCTCAGCGGGCAGGATCTTCCCGAGGAGCAAAGGGGAAGAACTCACTGACAACACCCCTGTCCTCCTGGAGCCGGAGGCCCTTGGCACGCAGCACGACCACCGTCAGGCGGCTCAGGTAGTCATTGTAGCCGAGGCAGAACTGGAGGTCGCCAAACTCCGAGGGAGGCTGGGGAGGTGGAGATGGAAGCACCCTAGCCTTGTCACTCTGACAGGTGCCCGGGGGCCACAGTGCCTGACAGTGCTCCCTCCTTCCCCCAGCAGTGCAAAGGGCACAGCCACAGGGTCTCCTTTGAGCCCCACCTCCATTTACTAGATGGGGAAACCAAGGTCTGGAGAGCTGAGGGACTTGCTAGTGGCGTGGACCAGACCTAAGGATCCGGAGCCAGGTCTATAGGATTCCAAAGCCTATTCTGAGCCACCTATGCTTCCTGGGGCATGGGGCGACATTTCCCTGGGCTGGTCCGTTTGTGGGGTCACTTTCACAGCTGTGTGACCAGCATGAGCATCCAGACAAGGATATTTCAGGTGGCTCTAGTGTGAAAGGAACTCGGGTGGCCCTCCCTGCCCAGGGGCAGGCCCATCCCCCTCATGCAGCAGCGTGGGGCCTGGTCACTCTTCTTGTAGGGTGGTGTGCAGCACGTGAGGGCTGATGCCAGCTGACAGGTGCTGCGCCCTGTGCACACCTGCTGGCTGCCCGCGGCAGTGCTGACACTCAGGTGACCTCGACCTTACCTCCAGGCTCTCCGCCTCCAGGTCTCTCCAGATGACGCGCCGGCAGTCACCTGCCAGGGTCTCGTGCTTCAGGGGGAACAGCACCTGGCCCAGGAGCTGGTGTTTCCTCTGCCTGTCCACATGGTACACCGAGAACCTCAGTACCCTCTGGGTAACACTCTTGCTGGACACCTGGGGGAGACGTGGGTGTGGGGCATGAGAGGGTGTGACTCATTGTCCTGAGCACAGGCACTTTAGGGGAGGGGGTGTCAAGACCAGGGACCTACACCCCCAAACCAGGGCATTTTCAGGGAATCCTTCTCAGCAGTGGGGCTAAGTAGCCCAAGAAGTGGAGTGTGTGCCAGGGCCTTGCTACGCAGAGCGTGGCCCGAGGAGCCATGGCGTCCACTACCACCTGGGGCCGTGTTAGAACCATGGGAGCCATGAATAGGCACCTGCTATTTACAGGAGCTGCAGCTGTGACCTGCCTGCACAGTAAGCGTGAGGGCCTGGGCTGGAGCATGGGCCTGGGGCCTGGGACACTGGCCTGCCCCCGCTCTCTGCATCGGGCACACCAGCTTGTCCCCGAGACTTGGCCTCCTCACCTTCGAAATGTGGACAACGCCCCAGTCACAGCACCTGACCCATTAATACTAATTTCAATACTGATGTTCTCCTCTCTCCCTTTCTCCTTCTTCCCTTTCCCTTCTACAGCATGGTGGGGCGGGATCTAATTGGGGTGAGATGGGAGGGGGAAGTGGTGAGGCAAGAAAAATAAGCAGGCAAGCATGACATGTGGCCGTGCAGGCCAGCAAGGCAGCAGCCTCGGCTCTTGTCCTGAGAAGAGTGCATTCACCTGTTAATTCTCACAGCCTTGGCCCCAGGAGGGTGGCCCGGGACCAGGGCCCACAGCCCCCCTCTTCCCAGCTCTCTGCCAAGGAGGAAAGTGAGAACGGTGGTGCTGGCCTGGGCAGTCACACTCTTCCTGGAAGCTGGCCTCTCCTTACCTCTTCAGCCAGCCCGAGACAATGTTTGTCCAGGGCCTCTCAGCAGGTCTTGATTGCCGGTTTCCCCTATGGGGCCCCGGTCACCTGCCGCGGCTCCCAGGCCCCTGCACAACTGGCTCAGTGCTGACAGCCGTGCTGTATCTGGACCCTGAGCCAGCCAGCCCAAGGTGCAGCAACGGCTCCAGGATGGCTGGTGGACAGCTCCTGTTCCCACCTCCACCTTCCTTGGATCACCTTGCAAGAAACTCCACCCTGCTCGGGGCTTTGGGGTGCTTCCCCTGAACCCCACAGCCCAGGGCCTGGCATTCAGTAGGTGCTCCAAAAGTGTGTTTTCTCTTTCTCTCCTCCAGACAGGAAAGGAAGAGCCCAGCCTTCTGGACACCCCCTCCAAGTCTCTCCTCCACCCCTCCATCAGGGCTCGGTTCCTCTGGGCCCTGTGCCTGTGGGCCGGGTAAAGTAGAGCTGGTGCATCGAGGGTCCCAGTGGGGCTGCGGGGTGCTGGCTGGTACAGAAGGCTGGGGCTCCCCTGCACAATGCTTACTCCTTCCCTGGAGGCCAGAGAGCCCCGGGCCGCGCCTGCTCCAGAGGCCGTACCTGGAAGATGAAGTGCTCATCAAACTGCGGGTTGGAGGTTTTGCGTTTGGTCTTGGACTGGAGGAAGCGCCGCTCATCGGGCAGCAGGTGGAGCTTCACCAGGGGGCTGCAGGTCTCTGAGGGGGCTTGCAGCTGCCGTGCCTTGATCAAGCCCACCAGCAGCCGCTCGGCCTCCTGCTGGTATTCCACGGAGAACCACAGCCGCCCTAGGCAGCCAGCAGGGAAGTCGGTCTCACTCTTGTCCTCCGAGGACTTGTAGAGCTCTGGGTTGATGGTCCCCACCACGCATGTGTCTCCTGCAACGGAGGGTGGGAGGGCTGGCAGGGAAGGGAAGGCAAGGGCATGGAGAGAGCAGCAAGCCCTGTCCGGCCCATCCCTCGCAGCAGCCTCAGCTGGCCGACCACATCCGCCCCCTCCCCTCTCCAGACTGAACACATCCCCTCTCCCCAGCCGCTCCTCCGGGAAGCCGCAGCACAAGGCGCTGCGCAGCCAGGCCCGGGCCCCAGCACAGTGCAGTGTTCACTTGACACTGCCCCACGCCCCTGCCCCTGTGCCCCACCCATCCCGGGAGGTCAGGGCTGCTCTCAGGGACGCGGTGCCCAGCACCTGGCCGGGCCCCTTTCCATGGCGTCTAGAGAATGACTCAGTAATAAAGTGTTGCCTGTTTTCTTCCACTTCAAATTAGAAGGGCCAAGCTGATTACTGGGTGGCTGCCGGGAAGGTCTCTTGGGGGAACTTCCGTGGTGGCAAAAAGCTGTGTTCCCAGCTCCTAGCATTCTGCCCTCCAGGTCGGCCAGCCCATCCTTCTGGAGCAGGGCCCTGCACAAGTTCTGCACCTGAATAGGCCTGGCTCCAAGGCCAGGTCTGTCGCTTACAGTCTCTATGACCTTGGGCAAGGCACCGTTAACCTTCTTGAGCCTCAGTTTATGACTGTGTAAAATGGGGTGATAATTCCTCCCCCACAGGGTTGTGCTGAGGTCTCACTCCAAAATGGCACGAGGCCATCTCTCACCCCGCATGGGGTGCGGCAGGCACTTGGTAAACGAAAGTACCCAGAAAGAGTGGTCACCAGGCAATGCTGGCATCCCTGGCTGGTTCAGGCTATGTCTGGAGCTGGGCGGTGAGGCAGATGGGTCCCCCTGAGTGGACCCTGACCCCTGGGCATCCCCAGCGGGAGCACTCACCAGGGTTGCTGCTGGGGGCGTGAGGCAGGAGCTCCGGGGCTGGGCAGGGGTCCTGTGGGGCCTGGGTCCACTCTCCACTGTGCAGGGGCACCCAGTCTCGGCCTCGGAGGGAAGGGGGCACCACAAACGGCACACCTGGAGGCCTGTCCAGAGGAGGGGGACGGCAAGTAGGTGGCAAGTGAGTGGTGCAGACTCAGAGCACCCAGCCAAGGGGGTTGAGCCCAGGCGCTGGAGGAAGAAAACCCAGTAGGAGCCAGGAGGTGGCAAGAGCACCATTTCCAGGGCCCACACCCCCACCCCCACCCCCGCCCACTCACAGTCAGATTCAAGGCCTCTGTCTGCCCAGGCAGCGGGACACCAGCCTGTCTGGGTTTTGATTCCTGTTCTACCTCTTACTAGTTGCTGTCTCTGGATCTGATACTTGTGTCCCCTGAGCCTCAGTCTCCTCAGCTAGAAAATGGGGTTCATAATGCCTGTCACTAGCCTGTGGTGAAGTTTCTGGGCTTTCTTTGTGAAGGCTCCCAGCATGGTGGCCGGCACAGAGGAGGCACTCTATTGACAGGACTTCCCTTTCCACCCCGCCCCAAGGGAAACTCCACCGGGAGGGCCCCAGACCAAGGCCAGGAGCCCACCAGCCCCACATCCTGCCTCACCTGCTGGGCGGCGTCCTGGCATGCTGCTGGCAGAGCTTGTCCCCCAGTCCGCTGGAGGTGGCTGTGGTGGCCATGGCTGGTGTCCCTGGCAGCTCCTCATAGGCAAGGGTGGCACAGAGCCTCCTCCACAGACAGCAGCTCACCCCGACCAACAGCAGCAGCAGCCCCCCGACGATGCCCCCAATCACCAGGGCCAGCTGCTCTGGGGGCAGAGACCACCAGGACTGTGCTGCCTGGGGGAAAGCTGTCCCCCTCACACCCCTGGCCTGCGGGGCACACGGGGGCAGCACCCACCCCCTGGGCTGGATCCCGGAGTGGCACAGAAGCAGGCTTCCGGTGTCTGCAGGGCAGGGTGCTGCTGGCTGGGCTCTGCCAGGTCTCGGCGGAAAAGCCTTTTCCCCTGGGGTCCCAGTGCCCTGGGCAGAGCACGCACGGTTGCCTGCGAAAGCAACCGGCCTTGGGATTCTGGCTGGAGGATTTCTTTGTGCTTCTCAATCAGACCTCCCCTCTTCGGGGGTGTGTGTGGGGGTGCGGGGGTGCTTGGGTGGGCGCCGTGGCTGACGGAAAGCCCAGGAAGGAACCGCTGCCCTTGTTTGCATTCAGGGCTCCATCCTCCGGGGTCCCGGAACCTCCTGCGCGGCTGGACTCTGGTTCTGTAGCCTTCTCTAGCACCCACTCCCTTCCCAGCCCGCTACCAAGGGGAGCCCGTGCCCAGGGGAGGCGGTGGGAGGCGGTGGAGGTGAGGAGAGGGCAGCGGGTATGAGAAACGGAGCCGCAGGTGCTCTTCGCTGCTGGCACCCTGCGGGGACCTAGGAGGCTTCCAGACGCATGGTCCCACTCAGCAGCTCAGGCTGGGCAAAGAAAGTGCGGGCTCCGGGGTCTGGACGGGGTGGGGTGGTGAGAAGTCGGGGCCCCCACACTTCTTAAGCTGCAACCGACTGCGAGGAGCGGGGAGCGAGACCCACTCTCCACTCCGTTCCATTACCCGCCAAGAGCCGGGCGGGCGGGCGGAGGCAAGTCCTGGAACAGGCGGCAGAGGGTCGCCGCGCTGGGGCCAGGATGGGAGGCGGGGGCACTTACCCGCCATGGGGCTGCTCCGGCGGCCCTGGGGGCGCTGGCCCGGGCTGGGTCTCGCGGGCTGGGTCTCGGGGATCTCAGCGCCTGCAGCTGCGGCTTCGGCGCCAGCTCTTAACTCGCAGCCGGGGCAGTCGGACGTGCGCGGGGGCGGTCCGTCGTCGCGCCGCCGCCCTGCCGCGATGCTGGGGGCCACGCGCTGCATGGTTGGGGCCGGGACTCAGCGCCCCGAGGCCGCAGCTCCGCCCAGTCCGGCCCTGGCCTCGGCCCAGGAGGCCGCGGAGCCGATCGTGCGCTCCCGGAAACCGCAGGGCTCCGGCCAGGGCGGGCCTCGGGCGCCGGTGCCAGGGGCGCCCGGGGCTCCCTACCGCTTCGGACGGGCAGGGTTCGCGGATCGCCCCCTCCCAGAGGGCAGAGCTAAAGCCGTCTCCGCACACGTCGGACCGAGGGCGCATACCTGGCTCTTCACACCCAGTGGCTTTGGCGCGAGCCTGCGCCCTCCCCAGATCCTCCCCGGGCTGCGGCTGCGACCCTGCCTGGAGGGAGCCGTCCCGCTCCCAGGCCGAGTCTCCGCGCCTGCCAGCGCTCCAGCGTACGGCTCGCTGTCTCCGTGGACAAAGTAACCAGGGCGAGAGCACGATTCTCGAGTCGGACCTGGCTCGAGCCGGAACCTCGAGCTGGTTCCAACTCAGCTAACCCACTCGCCAGCGTGCGACTTGGACAATGTAACTTCCGCACTCTGGGCTCACTGCCCTCATGTGGGTTAATAGCAGCCCGCAAGAATGTATGTATGCAAGGGGCTCTTACAGCGGTCCCTGGCCCGCCGGTGACTTACAGTGTGTGCACGGGCACTTAAGACCGTGGCGCAGCGCCTCCCCGCCACTAACTGCTATGGTGATCATCTGATGGAGAGCAGCACCACCTGGGTCCCCCCGCACCCACAGCCCGTTACTGTGGCGGTTTCTAGAACTCTGGGCCTGCGCCCACCAGCCCAGGTTGGAGATCACAGCCTTGATAGAGGGGCTTTCGTAAGGGCCCGCGCGGCGCCGCCCAGTCCATGGATGGGAAGCTAGTCGGGGGTGGGGAACGTCTGAGACCTGAGGCGTTTGTAAGTGGAGACCAAAAGGAGTGTGTGTGAGTGTGAGTGTGAGAGACAGAGTGTGTGTGTGTATGTGTGTGTGGCGGCAGCGGGGATGGGCCTTGTTTTGCAGCTTTGAAGGCTGTGTCCAAAGAGAGCCCCGGCCCTGCTCCCCTGCGCACGGGCGCCTACAGCCAGGGCGAGCAGGCCGGCAGTGCGCCTGAGGCCCCGCCCGCCGGGGCTTTGGATCGCCTCAGGTGGGATGGGTGGTAAACTGGGGTCCCCCTCACCTCCCTGGGGCAGGGTCTGGGAGCCATTGGTGCACCTGTGTGTGGAGGCAGCAGCCACTCACCTTCTGGGGTCTGGATGGGGGGTGGTGAGAAGGTGGGACCCCCACACAGTTTGCCCAGCGACTGGCAGGGAGGAGCTGGGCCTCGCTGTCCATTCCACCCTGGCCTGGGCCTGGCAGGGCATGGCCCCACCAGCCTCCTTCCTCTCTCGCCTGCCGTCTGGGCAGTCAGGTTGGCCGCAGTGTCTGGAGAATCCCAGGCCCTGACTTCTGCTTCTCCCAGTGACCGTGGGTGGGGCCGTGTCTCAGGAAATAGGGCCGGCCCTCCCCCCAGACCCCCATGTTCCCCCTCAGGTCTGACTTAGATATGTTTCCGTATTAGTTTCCTGTTGCCGCTGTGACAAATTACCACAGATTTACTGGTTTAAACCACAGATTTACTGGTTTAAACCACAGCTTTACCTTACAGTTCTGGGGTGGGGATCTGGAGGCCAGGGCAGAGCCATTTCCTCGGCGGTCCAGCTTCTGGAGGCAGCTGCCAGCAGCCCCGCCTTCACCACAAGGCCGGCAGCACAGCCTTACCAAGCTCTCCTGCCTCCCTCTTTGTGATCTTTGTGATCACGTGAGGCTCACCAGGTAACCCAGGATAGTTTCTCATCTCAAGATCATTAATTTAATCACAACTGCAGAGTCCCTTTTGCCGTGTAAAGCACCCTGCTCACAGCCTCTGGGGACTAGGGTGTGGACATCACTGGGGCATTGTTGTGCTGACCACAGTGTCTGTGCAGCCGCTGTCAGGGATGGTTTACGTTCCCCTCCTCCTGCCTGGAGCTCTCAGTGTGCCCAAGGCTGGGCTCAGACAGCTAGCAAGGCCCACATGACCCCAGCGTGGTCACCTTAGTTGCCTTGACCCCTCCCCCAGCTGCCCTGCACCCGGTTTGCCCACCCCTAATGGGGCACCGCACCCGCCCACACCGGCTGCCTCCATGGGGGGCCTGAGCTGCGCCCGCCCGGGCTGTTCTGGGGGAGGGGTGGGGTAGTGGGTGCTCTTTGTAAAGGGGATGCCTCATGGCCAGTCAGAAAGTGCCAGGCCCAGAGCTGCCATCCCCCCAACTCCTATGCTGTGCCTTTCCAGGGCTCCCATCTCCTTTCCTGGCTGTTGCCAAGTCCTGCCCACTCTTCCTCCTCTGTCCATCTCCCTCACCACCTGTTGCCTCGCCCAGGCCTCCTCCATCATCTTTTACTGGAGTGCTGTGTTGACCTCTCAGCTGTGCAGATTGGATCCTGTGCCCCTCCCCAGCTGTGTCTTCCCGGCCCCCTGCCACTGTCACCCACCCCGCCCATCCCTCTGCCATGCCCAGTGCCCAGGTGGGTGTGGCTACTCCCGCAGCCCCAGGCTCCTTCTCACCGCTGCTCTCTCCCTGCCTGAAACACTCAGGACCCTCCCGCCCTCCTCACCCACTGCTCTGCTCGCCCTTTAAGAGGAACCTCCAGCATCTTCTTTTCTGTGAAGCCCTTACATATCCCCTCCCCTTCCTCACTGCCCTTGCAGCTGCCACATGGTTATGGGACTCTGCCTGTGACTGCAGTCCACCCCACCCCTCCCAGCAGACCAGGTCCTCTGTGAAGGTGACACCACATCTGATTCAGCTCTGTGTCCCCAGAACCCGGACCAAGGCCACGCTGGACAGTAGGTGAAGGGGACATGTTCCCTGCATGAGCTGGCTCTGGCTTCTGCCTCCGTTTCCCTGCATCACTCTTTAGGCCCTGGCAGGAGCGCCTCACCCTGCTCCTGGAGACCAGCCGCTGGGGCTGGCACTCACGTTCCAGCTCTGTCTGCGAGCACCTTGCACGTCTAGCCAGCCCACTGAGCTGTGAGTTTTCCCCCTCCTTCCTTTCTGCTCCTGATGTTTGGGAATCAGGATGCAAGCTCCCCCTACAGCATCCCACTGAGTCCTGCCTCATGTCAGCCCTGCGGGGCCAGGACCACCCCCTCAGGGAGGCTTCGTGGCCTTCCCAGTAAGTGGTGGAGGTAGGCCCAGCACCTGGCCCCCTCATTCCCTCCTCCCCAGGGAGCAGCAGAAGGGCCCACGCGAGGCCCCAGGAGACTATGTCCTGCAGATCAGGCCAAGAGCCACGGGCACTGTGGTCAGACTCCCCTCCACCCACTGTCCCACGGGGGCTCTGAGACCTGGCTGGCCTGGTGCCAACTCCACAGAACAGCACAGCCTCCCGGGTCTGGCTGCAGCCCTGGCTCTGCTTCCTGTTTTCAGATCTTGCTCCTCCCTGGGTCTCTGGAGCTGGGAAACCTGGAAACAACAGCAGACATGGTTTCTCTCTTCCATAGCCAAAAGGAAGTCATATTTCCATAGGCAAAAGCATTTCCAAGGAGGTTGCAGGAAGTCCCAGTGTTTAAAGGCCTGCAAATGCCTGCAGGTGATTAATAATTCAGTGCAGTGGATGATTCACGAGAAAGGCCACTTTCAATTAACCTTAAGAATCAGCCCCTGTCTAAGGAAGTGTCGTCTCTCATCACTTAGGAACAGAGAGGCCGTAGCAGGATAAAGGCCATGCTGAGAAACATGTTGAAGACTGTTTCTCATATTTATGCAAATTCCACCCTGGTCACCCCAGGTCCCTCTTTGTGAGTCAGGAAGGTGTTCCCTCCCCAGCATCCTGTCTCCTCTCTGGTTCTGCCATGTGGCTCAGACTTCACTTCCTACAGCCCCTTTTTTCAGGAGCTTGGAGGGAGTTACCTTTCCTTGTTGGATCAGAAGCATCCCTGGTCCTCCACAGAGGCACACTGGCTCCAAATGTGTCCCATCCTACAGACAACCACCCAGGGTGCCAGGGGTGGAGCCCAGGCCCTTGGATCACTGGCCTTGGATCACTCCCTGGAGTGATTTCTGCTCTCCCACCTTCCTGCCCTCTGCCTGGCAGCCTTTCCCTTTCCAGGCACCAGAATCCTGCCTTTTCTTTCTCCCCCTTCCCTGTCTGCATAGTACCTGCCACTCACCTCCCCACACCTATTTTGGGAACTTTGCATGTGACCCAGGCTCAGCATGATACATTTCTTGGCCACAGTGGTAGGTTCGGGGATGGGCCCGTGACCCCCAGGAGGCTAATCAGGATCAATCCTGGAATTTTGGTGGGATCTACTGGGAAAGAGCCACTCCCTTTTTGGCAGGAGTTGTTGAGCTGAAGGAGCTGAGCCCGGGGCTGTGAGGAGCCGCTGTGTGGAGGAGCACGTGTGAGCAAGAAGCCGGCCCAGGAGAACGGACCGAAGTGGAGAGGACAGCTGGCTGCTGCTGCCGGAGCCCTGCGTGCTGCTGTGCTGCCAGCCAGCTGTCCCAGAAAGGCGGAGTGTGGCTAAGACCACTAGGAAGGGGCTGAGCCGGCTTTGGCATGAGCTCTTCAAGCCCCAGGCGCCTGAGCACCAAGACTGCCCTCAGTACAGAGCAGAATTTGGGGCACCTCTGGTCACTCAGCTGTCCCAAGGTGTACTGGCCCTTTGAGAGTAGGGTCTTATCAGGCAGGGCTGTTTGTGACAAACAATAGTTAATTTATGACTCAGCCTCCCCTGCCCACTCCCACCGTCTGCTAGCCTCCCTGCTGCTCACAGCCCCCCACTTTCCCAGGGAGCAGTGTGCTCAGCCCGCACGGCCCCACGCCCATCACCTGGGCTGCATTCTGCTTGACCAGCCCCTTTGCAGCCAGGATGGCGCCCAGCAGTGTTTGGGTCAACGACATGAGAGGGCATCTTCCAGGGGCCTGCCAGGAAAGACTTTGTTTTTTGATGTATCAGGATGTTAGGTT